ATATAAGGGTTCCGGTTAAGTAGCCTAGACATAGGACCTTAACCCGAGGTTGCGACTATTTCCATCCTAAAACTAAAATATCTCTCATAATAGACATATTAGGGAATGTCTTAGGACTTTGAACTTGCTTAGACATAAGTCAAGTGAAAAGCGTAGTCGTTGGTTCCTAAAGTAAAATGCATATCGTCCTTAGCGTATCCTTGATTCTTTGTTGGCTAACTTGAAGTAATTCGGGCTAGGTTTTACCATTATAAGACCAAATCCCAAATCCAAAACCATTATTTGTGACCACTTCCCATTTTACAAGAATCACTCATTTTAACGTTCACTATTCATTAAAACTTTAGAGTTTGGAAATTATTTAGAAGTCCTTGAGGATCGATACTTGGATACTCCATCCATTTTATATTACTCTGACAGGTGTGCGCTTCCATCTATAGAATTGTTACCACGCTTAGTGTGTGCGTTCAGTATAATGTCAGTCAGCTCCCACTAAAAGAACTAGCATAGAGGCGTCAATCACCAAATTTCCAGATGGAAATGACGAAATACAATTTAATTCTGAGGCAAGATACCCCAGAATTAGAGAGGTCGTGAGTAGTCGTCCAAGCACATCTTCGAACACAAGGTTGGTTAACTCTTTCAACAAATCTTTCAAAAGATCTGAATCAATGCGAGGGTCTGTGGACTTCACCCATCCTATCCCTGACGTTAATTATGAAGAAGGATCACTCTCTCATATCCAGTCCGACATGGAAAGGAGAACTGAACCGACTTTCAACCAAATAAACGTTATTTCAAAGATTGAAAAACGTTATAAAGATTTGTACGACAAATACATCAATATATGGATTGTCGCACCAGAAGAGACGAGGAAACCTATCATGTGTATAGAAGACTTCACCTCAAAGTTAAAACAAAAAGAGCTTGCAAGAAACGAAGCTCTCGTAGAGTCTCTCAAAGCCCAAGGACAGGTGGTTGTTATCAGAAACAACACTGTTTGGGTCACTGCAAGAGGCAAAGAAATAGCTTCCACCTTCCCTCCTGAGGAAGAAGTTACTTTCTCTCACCCGATCATACCGGCCATAAAGATGGTGTCTTCTCC